ACACCCATTTCGGCACACCCCTCACACGTTTCGTGGCCCCATAGGGAGCTCCACCGAAGGCCCCATGCTGCCGTCCGCATGCGTCCCGCGCACCCATTTCGGCACACCCCTCACACGTTGCGTGGCCCCATAGGGAGCTCCACCGAAGGCCCCATGGCTGCCGTCCGCATGCGTCCCGCACACCCATTTCGGCACACCCCTCACACGTTTCGTGGCCCACAGGGAGCTCCACCGAAGGCCCCAGTGCTGCCGTCCGCATGCGTCCCGCACACCCATTTCGGCACACCCCTCACACGTTTCGTGGCCCCATAGGGAGCTCCACCGAAGGCCCCATGGCTGCCGTCCGCATGCGTCCCGCACACCCATTTCGGCACACCCCTCACACGTTTCCTGGCTCCACAGGGAGCTCCACCGAAGGCCCCAGTGCTGCCGTCCGCATGCGTCCCGCACACCCATTTCGGCACACCCCTCACACGTTTCGTGGCCCCATAGGGAGCTCCACCGAAGGCCCCATGGCTGCCGTCCGAATGCGTCCCGCACACCAATTTCGGCACACCCCTCACACGTTTCGTGGCCCCATAGGGAGCTCCACCGAAGGCCCCATGGCTGCCGTCCGCATGCGTCCCGCACGCCCATTTCGGCACACCCCTCACACGTTTCGTGGCCCCACAGGGAGCTCCACCGAAGGCCCCAGTGCTGCCGTCCGCATGCGTCCCGCACACCCATTTCGGCACACCCCTCACACGTTTCGTGGCCCCATAGGGAGCTCCACCGAAGGCCCCAGTGGCAGTGCATGCCGTCCGCATTTCGGCGTCCCGCACACCCATTTCGGCACACCCCTCACACGTTTCGTGGCCCCATAGGGAGCTCCACCGAAGGCCCCATGGCTGCCGTCCGCATGCGTCCCGCACACCCATTTCGGCACACCCCTCACACGTTTCGTGGCCCCACAGGGAGCTCCACCGAAGGCCCCAGTGCTGCCGTCCGCATGCGTCCCGCACACCCATTTCGGCACACCCCTCACACGTTTCGTGGCCCCACAGGGAGCTCCACCGAAGGCCCCATGGCTGCCGTCCGCATGCGTCCCGCGCACCCATTTCGGCACACCCCTCACACGTTTCGTGGGCAGGACGGTCGGGGCAGCGACGGCGGCGGCGGCGCTGGGGTTGCCGCCGCCGGCAGCGGCGACGCCCGGGCCGCCGTCGGCGGCGGCGACGCCGAGCGCGCCCCAAGAGCGCGCTCGCAAGCGGCCGCGGTAGGCAGGCTCTCCCTCTTCCTCCTCCCCTCTCTCCTCCTCCTCCTCCGCCCACTCCTCCTCTGCTTTAGACTAGATCGTGATCTGGTCCAGCAGGCCTCTTCCTCGTCACAATGGCCTAGATCGGGATGTGGTCCAATCCCTTAGGGCCGCGCCAGGGCTGGGGAATCCTTTAGGGCCGCGCCGCTTTTGGGGAATCTTCTTCCAAAGTCTTTCCAAACCCGCCCAAATCCTCCCAAACCCGCCCAATCCTGCCGAACCCACCCAAATTCTCCCAAATCCACCAGAATCCTGCCAAACCCACCCACATCCTCCCACATCTGCCCGGAGTCTACCTAATCCTTCCAAATCCTCCCAAACCCGCCCACTTCTTCCAAATCCGCCCAAATCCTTTCAAATCTTCCCGAACACAACCGAATCCTCCCAAATCCACCCAGATCCTCCCAAACCCGCCCAAATCCTCCCAAACCCACCCAAACCCACCCAAACCCACCCCAATCCTTCCAAATTCACCCGAATCCCCCCCAATCCACCCGAATCCTTCCAAATCTTCCCAAACACACCTAAATCTTTTCAAATCCATTCAAAATGTTCCCAGATCCAACCAAATCCTCCCCAATCCTCCCAAGCCCACGAAATGCGCGCGCGGACGCGACCGGACACGGGAGCGGTACTTCCAATGGGCCGTCTGGGAGGGGGAAATGATGGGTTTTTTTTGTTTTTTCTGGTTCCGATTTTTTTCTGTTTCCGACCCGTCCTCCGCGAAATGCGCGCGTGGACGTGCGACGGGACACGGGAGCGGTACTTGCAATGGGCCGTCTGGGGGAGGGAAATTATGGGCTTTTTCTGAATTTGCCGGTTTCGATGTTTTTCATGTTTCCGCCCCGTCCTCCGCGAGATGCGCGCGCGGACGCGCGACGGGACACGGGAGCGGTACTTGCAATGGGCCATCTGGGAGGGGGAATTCTGTGTTTTTTTGTTCTGTTTCATCTGGTGTCGACTTTTTTCTGTTTCCGACCCGTCCTCCGCGAAATGCGCGCGCGGACGCCCGGCGGGAAGTTGTTCAAAGCGAATCGTTGTCGACGTCGGCGTTTGCTACGCCCCGGGCGTCTGTGTTTGGAAGGGCGTCACTATCGCGAATTTTCAAAAACGGGCTCGCGTTCAAAGAGAATGGTCGTCGCCATCGGCGTTTGCTGCGTCCGGGCGTCTGTGCCCTGAAGGACGTCACTATCGCGAATTTCCAATCTTGTTCAACGCGATTCGTCGTCGCCATCTGCGTCTTTGCTACGCCCGGGCGCCTGTGTCCTGAAGGGCGCTTAAATTCTTAGCGACCGTCCAGCGCAAAACCAGGCGGTGCGGAAACAACGCGCTTTCAATTTGATGCGAACGTCCTATTGATTCGCTCGGATCTCACCGCGAGAACGCGACTGCGAGACCCCCGTCGTTTTGATGCCAAAACGACGGGGGTCTCAAGCTTTTTTTGGGCTTCCTATGGCGACGTGAAAAAATATCGCGCGTGCGACTTGCGAATTCATTCTTTTCCATAGAACGTCGTCGATAATCTCGCGCCGACGTGCTGCGCGTAAAAAACTAAGGCTCCCAAACTACACCCAAGCATGCAAGAGTCTCCTTTGGAGCGACCGGCGCGCGTCGCAGACATTCCGGTGCACTGTGTCCGGCGCTCAGTGTCGGCCGCGCGTCTTTCCAATTGTTCAGTGCCGCGGACGATCCGCGCGCGTCGCTGAGACTCCTTCGGGGCGACCAGCGCGCGTCGCGGGGACTCCTGCGCGCCCCGCTCAGAGCCCCCGATGCATCCGGTCGTCGTCGACGGGCCCAGCGCGCTCAAATGTCGCCCGCTGTAGTCTATTTCAGACGTTGGACATCTGGGTTTGCCTCGCGGAATCCTGGCGACTACGATTCCATATCCGTAGACCTGATGGCCCGAGCAGCAAGCGCCGCCGCGCTCGACACGCGCCCGACGCGCCCATTGACAGACGACCTCCGCTCGTGGACGGGACCCCTCTCGCGGGGCGATCGCCCCGAGTCGGAGACACTCCAGCTCGCGCGGGCGGCCCCCTGCCCCGCGCCGGGTCAATCCCCCCCGGATGCCTCCCAAGGGCAGCGGGGCGAGATGTCGGATCAATGTGGACAAGAATGAGCGAGGCGGAACAGTGACCTTTACAGTGAGATTGCGGACTGCGGGCGAGCCCTCCATCAGAGGCCCGCCGCGCGAGAATTTCGCCGCGGCCACGGCGGACAAGGTCCGCCTCCTGCGGCGCTGCGGATGCCGGAGACGGAGCGGCGCGCTGAGCTGCGCCTTTGCGAGCACAGCACGCGCAGTGCCCGGGCGATGGCCCCCAGACGCCGCGGCGCCAGCAGGATTGCCCGCCTCGGCGCCGGGTGAGAGGGAAACGAGGGCCGTCGCCGCGCGGTTCCCCGGCGCAGAGAGGCACCCCGGCATCGGGCCCGAAGCAGGGAGGTCCGCAGACACCGGGCGCCTCGGCCGCGGGCAGGCGCCCCCGGCAGACTCCCGGGACTGCTCGCCGCCGGGGCCCGACTCCTCGGACAGCGGGAGGTCGACGGGACGTCGCGGCCGCGACGTTCCGCGACGTTCTGGCCTGGCACAGTGAGCGCGGCCGCTGGCCACGGCGCCAGCGTCCCGGAAGGGTGCCCGAGGATGACTTGGCGAGGAGGTGGCAGAGGTGGAGGGGGACCAGCAGGCTGCAGCCAGCGGCCCAGATCCTGAAGGAGCGCATCGACGCGCTGGCGCAGGCCGGTCGGGAATCGAGGCTGGAGGATGAGCGTGCCGAGGGCGCAGAGCAGGCACTGCGGATGCTGCACCAGCACTGGTGCGAGGGGAACGACGTCCACGACGAGGACCGTTGGAGGCATCCCGCCCTGCATCGGTCGCGCGGCGGCCAGCACCCGTACCCGGGCCTCTCGAACCTGTGCAACTCCTGCTACCTCAACGCGCCCCTGCAGTGCCTCCCCCACTGCCCCGCCGCGCGCGCCGCGCTCCTGGGGGCGGAGCGCGAGGGTGAGCCGCTGGTCGTGCAGGACGCGGGGTGGGGGGAATCTCGTCGATGTCTTCGCTCCGGCACGGCCCCTGGTTGACTTTAGGTTCCTTCCCTCCGCCGGGGAGGGGAGGCGATTGGCGCGTCGCCAGGGCGGGGGGTAGGGGGCAATCGGCATGTGTTTCACGCCCCCCCTCAAGGAGCTGCGCGCCCTGGCGGCCGCCTGCGTGCGCGGGGTGCCGCCGCCCGCGGAGGACGTCGGCGGCTCCGCGCCAGCGCCAGTCCGCTTGGACCGCTGGTCCCCGCACGCCTTCGTGGACGCGTTCCTCGCGAAGCACTGGGTGGACTTCGGGCTGGGGAAGTACGCGGACGCGAGTGAGGCGCTGTCCTTCATCCTGGAAGACGCGCCCGGTCTCGCCAGCCTCTTCCAGACAGGATGCGACGAGGAGGCCATGATGAGGCTCCCGGCGTTCGTGGACGAGGCAGACGAAGGCGACGACGCCCTGTCGCCGCAGGACTTCCTCCTCGACGGGGGCGCGCAGCGACTGGGCGTGCGAGAGCTGCTCCGCCGCGGCGCCTCCATGGGCGGGCGGCTGCGATCGAAGCCCGAGTTGCTGGCGGTCCACGTGCCCCAGAGGTTGGAGCGGGGCGACGGCGCGGCGCTCTTCCTCGGCGGCTGCGACATCGCGCCCTACTGGGGCGAGCTCCCGGAGGTGGCTCTGAGGGCGGGGGGGGAAGACGTCGCGTACCGCCTGCGCGCCCACGTGCAGTACATCCTGCCCGAGGGGTCGGAAGCCGTCCCATCCCACGTTCTGAATGACCCCCAGGGCCACTTCGTGGCCCACTTCGAGGAGGACGGGAGCTGGTACACTGCAGACGACCTGGGCGATCGGCCGCACGTGGTCCAGTGGGCGCCTGGCACCCAGCACAAGATACCTTGCATCATCTTCCTTGAGAAGGTGGGCTCCAGGGCGGCCCGCGCCGAGGCGTGCCCGTGGCCGCTCGGGCCGGTCGTCGACGGCGCGGAGGGCGCGGGCGACGACGGCGATGTCGACACGGACGGCGAGGACAGCCCTGGCCTCGACGGAGCGCCCGAGAAGCAGGAGGAGGAGGGTGGCGGGGCCGGCGACGCTGGCGCGCTGGGCGCGCGGAAGCGACCCGCGGCGTCAGCGAGGAGCGGCGCCCCTGCCAGGAAGCGGCTCCGCCTCCGAGGGAAGCAGAGCGTGGCTGGGAGGCAGCAGAGCCGCGCCGGGAGGCAGCAGAGCCGCGCCGGGAGGCAGCAGAGCCGCGCTGGGAGGCAGCAGAGCCGAAACCAGGAGGGGATGCAGCAGAGCCGAAACCGAGAGGGGAGGCAGCAGAACCGGGAGGATCAGAAGCGCGGTTGCAAGCCGGAGGAGGTGTTGCGGCAGGGGCGGAAGCCGAAGAGCAAAGGCGACAACGCCGACGGGTCCAGGCAGGACGCCCAGAACAACGCCGCCACCCCGGTCCTCCGCAGCAGCATGGAGGCGAAGAGCTTGCAGGCGGCGTGCGACGCGCGCCGGGAGTGCGGCGACCTGTTCTTGCACTTGCACTTGCTGGAGCCGCTGGCCGCTGCCGATGACCTGCTGAAGCGCTACCCTGACTTCTTCGTCTACGCGGGCGACGACTGCGCCAACCGATGGGCGACGTTCCTGCGCGCCTTCGATCGGCCTGACAAGTTGGCCGGCAGGCTGCGGGAGGCGCTCGGGGTGACGGAGGAGGAGATTTCCGACGCCAAGCGCCGACTGGAGAGCGGGGAGTGACACTTGCACCACGTCGCGGAGCTCCTGGACGAGCGCCTGGGCTTCGCCCACGGCGCCCACTCCGTGGCGGCCGCGGCCCGCCTGGCGGCGAGCGACGCGTCGGCCGCGCTGGGCGACGGCAACCCGCTGAGGGCGCACCTGGCGGAGGCGTGGCAGCGCAGACCCTGCAACCGCGGCCCGCCCCGGCACGCCGCCATGCCTGCGCGCCTTCGGGATCGCTCTGAGTGGTTCCAGTGCCCCGCGCCCGCCCTGCATTATGCCTGCCGCATGTGCGAGGCCGAGTTCCCCAACAGGGAGGCGTTCAAGGCGCGCCAGGGCAGAGTCCACGGGGGGCAGCGGTGGTACCAGTCGCAGTATGTGGCGCGGTGCGAGCTGGAGCCCTACCAGCCGTCGCCGACCGAGGAGCGCCAGGCGAGCGGGCGGCGGGGAACTGCGCCCAGCCCTCGGAGACGTGCCCTTAGCGCTGGCGCCCCCGGCGCCAGCGATAAGGGCATCGAGAGCGCTGGGGGTCGGGCGGCGCTCCCCGCCCTCGCTGCAGGTGGTTGCCAGGTTCCACATCTCCCAGTGCTGCGCCACCGTCGATCCCGTCGACGAGCCGTTCGTCCCGAAGCTCGACTCGGAGATGCAGAAGCAGCTCGTCCACGCGGAGATCGTCGGCAGGATCGCCGGCAAGATCGGGCAGGCCCCCCCCGCGGAAGAGGTTTCCCGGCAGGCGGCCGACGCGGCGGAGTCGGCAGCCCGCGCTCAGGCGGCGTGCCAGGCGAGGGAGCCCCGCGCTTTCCAGGCATGCGTCTGCTGCGCCATGCAGCAGTGGTCCGAGAACCTCCACTCGGAGTACCTCGTCGGCGACAAGTGCACCATAAAGGACCGGGCCCAGTTCGCGGACTGCCTGTCGGCCGAGTGGTATCACCAACGATGGCCCCTCATACCGCGCGACGAGCTGATGTCGTCGGCCGTGGACTTCCCCCACAACGACTGCGAGGGCTCGCCGACGTCCACGAAGATACTCTTGCACAAGAGGCGCGTGCCCCCGGAGGCGCTCGAAGGGAATGTGCCAGTGAAAGTTTGCAAGGATTGCCGGAGAGACCTGTGGTCTGATCACCCCAAGGTGCCGCTGATGGCGTTGGTGAACGACCTCTGGTTGGGCCGCCACCACCCGCTGCTCAGGAAGGCCGCTCTCGCACACCAGATGCTGCTCGCGCTCGGCCGCGTCGTATCCACGAAGATCTACCTGTCCAGCAAGGGCGCCGACAAGGCCGTCCGGCAGGAGCAGCAGTCGTGGAGGCAGAAGTTCTTGCAGTACGCCATCCATCGTGTTCGGGAACGGGAACGTGGACCACGCGATGCGGAGCTTCCCGCCGGAGCCCGACATGCTCAGGGACACGTTCGTGGCCGTCTTCGCAGGCGCCGACAACGACGAGGAGGGCATCCCCCTGACCGAGGACCAGAAGCAGGAGAGGGCCCTGAGAGCCATGAGGGAGGAGGTGGCGCTGCACGTCGACAAGGCGGAGTACGACGCCCAGGCGCGGTTGTTGAAGCAGCACAACTACGTGTACAATGACCCGGGCGTCCAGTACCGATCGGACCTCGTGGACCGATTCCCCCCGCGGCCGGGCGTGCCCGACTTCATGTTGGCCTGCGCGAAGTATGTCCCCACGGACGCGGCGTTGGACGACGTCGCGCAGGCGCAGGGGCCCGCCTCGGCCACCACTGGCGCGCAGGCAGAGATGAGCGCGGCTGCCGAGGACGCGCAGGAGCTGACCAAGTGGCTGTCCGTCCTTGAGGACCACATGGACGACGTCAGCGAGCTCACGTCCCTGCCGGCGCTCCAGGGCATGCTCGAGAGGATGGAGAGTCAGGCGGGGCGCGTGGTGGCCAACGAGCTGATGTCCAGACTCGAGGACCAGGGAGGCGAGGATAGGGCGCTGCAGCTGGACGAGATCGGGCGTCACCGCCTGCGGGACCTCTGCCAGGAGTTCCACGCGCGCTGTCGGAAGATCTCCCCAGGGGAGGACATGGCGAAGCTGCACTGGCGCGTCCAGGCGCTGGAGACCAACAACTGCCAGGCGGGGGAGGGCGCGGGCGACCTGGCGCGATCTGCAGGAGTCGCGGGGACTCCCGCCGAGGACGATCCGCGCTCCTTGCAGGAACCGCCCGTCCCAGACGGCCAGCGGAAGGCGAGGCTTCGGGTGCCCACTTCGAGGAAGGCGGAGAGCTGGTGGAATCCGAAATACTGGTCGATTGCCAGGCCCACGGACTTCTGCTACGGGGACTGCGCCTGGGGCCTCGGCCAGCTCCCCCCGGACGGAGATGAGGACCCGCAGAAGCAGAAGGAGTCCGCTCACGCGGGAGGAGATGGAGTATGACGTGCCCGCCGACGAGGAGAGATACGTGGCCAGGCCCATCAGTCGTTTCCGCAGCTCCTGGTACGACGTGCACCTGCTGTGTTCCTTCTGGAGAGTCACGGAGACGACCAACAGCACCTACACGTTCATGAAGACGCCCGGGGCGTTCGGGGCCGCTCGCGCCTGCGCGGACATCACGCCGGAGATGATCGAGGAGGTGCAGCTCAGGGCGCAGCAGACGGGCGGGAAGGCCACGCTGCACGGCATCCTCAAGGACAAGGACACCCCGAACGAGGTGCGCAAGGCCTTCGCCACCCTGGGCCAGGCCACTGCCGGCCAAGTCGGGTCCGACGGACACAGGCGGGAGCTGCGCGGAGAGGGCGAGGCGTATACCCTGCGCTTCGGCCCGCCCGTCCAGTTCGTTACCCCGAATCTGGCAGGTACCAAGCAGCCCCTGATCCTCATCGTGCAGGGGGAGGAATACACCTTCGACAACGACCTGACCGAGGCGGGGCAAGTCACGTTCAGCGAGATGTCGCAGCGCGTCGCCGCGGACCCCGTGGGCCAGGCCGTGGTGTTCGAGCTGATGATGAGGCTGTTCTTCGTCCACGTCCTCGGCCTGCGCCCAGAGACCGTCGGGTGGCGGCGAGGAGAAGTTCGAAAGGCTTCGGAGCACTGGGTCTCCGACGGCGTGGCGGCCGACCTCATGGGCGTGCCCGCGGTGTTCGGCCCCCTCGCGGCGGCCTTCGGTCCTGTCGAGGCTCAGGGCCGCGGCTCGCTTCACCCGCATATCCTCATCTGGCTGCTGCAGGGCCAGCTGCAAGTGCTCCTGGACATGCTGCAGCGCGACCAGGCGAGCTTCGAGGAGCGCTTAAACCAGTGGATGCGGCAGGTGGTGCAGGCCGTGGTCGCCACTCAGCAGAGCGCCGTGGAGCTGCTGCCCTTGCAGCTGCAGGGGGGCGAGAACAAGTGCGGGGTCGCGGTGCCGCCGCTGCCGTTCGGGCCCAACGAGAAGCGGTACTTCAGAGCCGACGGGCGCAGGGAGACGGCGACGGCAGAGCAGCTCGGGGTCGGGGACGACACGGGTGAACAGGAGCTGTGGTTCTACGACCCACAAAAGTCCGAAACCCAAGACGACGAGGTCTACCACGAGGCGTATCGCCCCAATCTGCCGCTGCGCCACAAGGACGGCACGGAAGCGGACGACGAGGCGGCGTGGGTGGAGAAGAACACCGCGGAGAACAAGGGGTACTGGCGGCAGCCGCTCTCCAGCAGCGCCTCCAGCATTTTCCCGAGGTACCGCGGCGGGGGCACCCTGGCGGAGTCTCTCCCGAGCGAGGAGTGGATTCGCGAGATGTGCCGCGACGCGCACGAGCTCGTCATCGGCTGCGGCATCCACGTCTGCAGCCCCTCTTGCTACAAGTACCATTCGGACAAGGCGCGCGGCTCGCAGATCTGCCGCCACAACTTCTACAACCTGGTGACATTGTGCACGTGGCCCGAGGATGCGGACTCCCAAGAGTGCCGGTTCCGCACGCGCGGGAAGGCGCTGCGCGGCTGCATCGGCATCTTCCGGGAGACGGACTACGGCATGGCCGGGCGCATCGTCACCTTCCAGCTTCACCCCGGGGAGACCTCCACGAAGTACGCGGCGGTCGTCTCGGCGCGGTGCAACGTGGACGTGCAGGACATGAGACGGGTGCTGCCCCCGCGCCTGTGGATGGATGCGTCGGAGCTGGAACCGGAGCCGGACGAGAAGGACCGCAAGAGCTACAACCATGGCCTCTACCCTCAGCGCTACGCCGACTTCTCGGTGGGCGCCCGGGAGGACTGGGGATGGTTCCAGCATCTGAACACCACGTCCGCGGAGAAATGGGACCTTGTCGTAGTCACCGACTGGCGCGAGATCTTCAGGGAGCTCGCGAACCGCGACAGCCCCGCCGTGGACGGTGGCGACGCTGCGCGCGCCGATCTCCAGCGCGACCTGGAGCGGCACGCGCTGGCCACCTTCGTGGACGCCCACAACACGAGCTACTACATCAACTCGTACACCACGAAGGTGAACCCCAGCATGGACGACGTGCTCTGCAAGCTCCTCGACGGCGTGCGCCGCCTGAAGAGCCAGTGGGACGACAGGGAGGCGCAGGCCGCGGGCGACGCCGGCGACGAGGCCCAGTCGACCGCCGCAGGAAAGCACAAAGAGATTTCAAGCGCACGCTGCAGGTGTTGGCCCGCTTCGAGACCTGCTTCCGCAGGGCCTCCTGGAAAAGCGGCAGCGAGATGGTCTTCCCCATGCTCTTTGGGCACCTCTCCTTCATGACGCACCGTTGCTGGAAGGTGTTCATGCGGAAATCCATCTACCTCGCCGCGGAGTCCTGGCGCAGGCGGTACGGCCAGGCCGACACCGCGGAAAGCGCACCCGCCGCCTCGATCACGTACGCGGTCCCCGGCACTGGACAGCAGGTCGCGATGCCGGGGTGGCGCGAGGTGCAGCGCGAGGGCGAGACGGTGTACGTCAGCCCCGACGGCGAGGAGTTCGACACGTTCGAGTACGCGCACCAGGCGTTCCAGATCGCGAACGCCAGCGGCGGCTCGCTGCGCGACGTGACGAAGGCGCTGAACAAGTTGCGGGAAGGCGAGGCCGAAGAGGTGCCCGAGACATGAGGGCCGACTGTCGAGGGCCTCGCGCAGGGCAAGTTCAGGGGCGCAGTGCTGAGCCAGCACGACGATTGGATGCACCGCGGAGACCACCCTATTGTCCGAGACATGAGCTTGTACGTCTACAGCATCTGGGTGTGCCGCGTGGAACTGCCGCTGCATGCCCTTCCGGCCGGGGAGCTGGATCCCGAGGGCAGCGGAGGTCGCACCCTGCACGTCGACATCGCCTTCGACTCGTCCTACTCGGCGGCGCGGAACTGGACTCAGAGGCTGGCCGTCGAGCCGCGCATCCCGAAGCCGGACGGCTTCCAGTTCGTGAGCGCGGAGTCGAACGTGGAGACGCACTACCTCATGAAGTCGGTGCTGCTCCGGCCAGTGCACCTGCCGGACGCCGACGGCCCCAACGACACGAAGGAGCTGCGCTACCTCCGCGCGTACGAGCACCTGTGCGCGGCGCCGGAGGGCGAGCCGGAGTGGCCAGCGCAGCCGGCGGGGGAGGGCGTCTCGGGCCCGTTCCAGCGCGGCTGGGAGTCGTTCGCCACCGCCCAGGAGCAGCTGGCGAAGACGGCCCGGGCGAAGTGCCTCAGGAATGACGCAGGGTCTTGGGCGACCCCCAGCATCTGGAACACGGAGGAGGTCGAGTCCGCGCTGCGCGAGAAGCGCAGCGACAGCGGCGAGGACGTGCAGCCTCCGTGCCGGTGCGCCCAGTGCACGGAGCTGGGCAGCTGGCTGGACAGCTTGCTGACGGTGCAGGAGTACCTGGCCCTGGAGACCACGAAGACCGCGGCCAACTTCGACGGCATCTCCAAGGCGAAGGCTTCGAAGCCGAAGAGGCCGCAGAAGGACGACGTGCATGTCGCGGAGGCCCCCGTGTTCCGGGAGGGCGCCGAGGACTCGGGGGCGGGCGCCGCGCAGGTGGAGGCCCAGGCCATCCGCGCTCAGGACGGCTTCGCGAAGCTGGGCGCCAACGCGGTCCTGGAGCATCACTTCGACCCCGAGACGCTCGGGCAGATCTTGCGCTTCGACACCGCCGAGCGCACGCAGGCCTTCGTGAAGGAGCTCAAGAAGGCCGCCACGATGATGGAGAACGGCGCGCTGCCCGGGCCGACTGACGCCGACGCGTCGCGGCGCGCTGCCCGCGCCCTGAAGGACAACGTCCTCGCTCCGTTCAGGGCCCTGCGCGACCTCGACGCAGACGAGCTGAAGAGCCTGGTGGAGACCCAGCGGAAGAGGTTCGCCAAGGGGGGCACGAAGGATGCGGACGTGCCCGTGGCCGACGCCCCCGCGCGGGACGACGTCGGGGCAGCGGGCGCTGGCGCGATGCCGGCCGAGGCGGCGCAGGCGCGGTGGGAGCCGTCGGAGGAGTTGCAGCGGCCCAGCGACTTCGTCAAGCGCCTCGTCAAAAAGTTCGAGGACGGCGTGGTCAACCCGAGCACGGGGAAGCAGGAGCGCCGCCCTCTGAAGCCCGACCAGGCCCTGTTCGTCACGGCGTTCGCGAACGCCTGCAACGTGGTCTGGGACGAGGAGCAGAAGATCGAGGACGGCAGCATGGCCAAGCACGCGAAGCGGAAGACGTTCCAGTTCCTGCTCCTGGGCCAGGGCGGCAGCGGGAAGACCGCCATGGTGCAGGAGATCGTGCTGCCGGCCATGGACGCGCTGTTCCCTGTGGAAACGGGCAAGGCGAAGTCCACGCTGATAGTCTGCGCGAAGTGGTCTCAGGCCGCGAACATCTCCACGGACGCTCACAAGGCCGTCAGTTGCCACCGGGCGGGAGTCATCGGAGTGCAGTCCTTCAGGAACAAGGACATACCCGCGGGGGGCAAGCTGAAAGCGCTGCAGGACACGTGGGAGGCGGTCAGGTGCTTGATCCTGGAGGAGGTGAGCATGATCTCGCCCAACCTGTACAACATGCTGGCGTTCCGGTCCTACCTGGGACGCAAGGCCGAGTGGGGCGCGGAGGAGCGGGAGTACGACCAGGTCTGCGGCGCCTTCGGCCGGATGCCCATCGTGATCCACCTGGGGGACTTCCTGCAGCTGAAGCCGACGGGAGGCAAGGTGTCGCTCATCTCCAGCTTCGAGGAACTGGCGGCGGCGGGCATCAACCTCGCACCAGAGTGCCAGGCAGTGATGAAGCTCTTCTGCAACACGCCGCTGTGCTTCGAGCTCCAGGCGTCCAACCGCTTCAAGGACCCGAAACTCAGGGACCTCATGGCGTTCCTGCGCAAGCCGGGGAAGCAGGTCCCGTCGGCCATCCGGGCCACGTGGAACGCCATGCAGCTGAAACCCGATGATCGTAGACTCCGGGAGGACAGGTTCCAGAACGGCCACATGATCGGGTCCTATTGGGACACCGTGGCGCGCTGGATGAACATGCGTGCCCAGCGGGACGCGGACGTCCTGAAGAAGCCTCTCTTCCTCGTGCAGGCCGCCGACAGGTCTGCCCCGACGATGAGCAGGAAGGACGCCGCCAAGATGATGAACTGTGCCAACCCGAAGAACACCGGTGGCATGCACGGACTGCTCCCGGTGCACGTGGGCATGCGGATCCGGCTCCTGGAGGCGCTGGACCTCAAGAACGGCCTCGTCAAGGATGCCGAGGGGCAGATCGTGCACATCGTCGTGGACCCTCGAGATCGGGGCGACGTCGACAAGGCCGAGAGAGACGGGGAGAAGAGGATCTATCTAAAGCACTTGCCGCTGGGGTTCTGGGTGCGCATGGAGAAGTACGCGAGCGCGCCCTTCGTGGATGACCTCGAGCGCCACGACGAGAGCCTCACGGGGGACCTCACGGGCCCGCTGGTGTTCATCGAGCCCCGCACGTCGGAGCCGTTCACCTTCCGCACCTCCAAGGTCACCCGGACGGGCTTCCCGTTCTCGCACGGCAGGGTCATCACCACGGTGGCGTGCCAGGGGCGCACCATGCGAGAAGGCGACGGGGCGGGGGAACGGCGCTCCGGGGACGGCCAGACCTCCGAGGCGCGAGCAGTCCGCAGCCATCCTTCGGTCTTGTGGACTCTCGCCCTGGGCCGTCGGCTGCCCGGCGCACTGCTCCCTCGGCCGACGTCGCCCAGGCGTGATCCTGGACTGCGGCCGCCACGAGGTCGGGAACGGCAAGAAGGAGGACGACGACTGGTGGCTGGAGCTCTACGTGCTGCTCTCGCGCACCACGCGCCACGAGGGCCGCCTGCTCATGCGGGCGCCGCGCATCGAGTTCTTCCTGGCCGGGCCGCCGGGGGGCTTGCGTAAGCAGCTGGAGCAGTTTGCGGCGCGCACGAAGCGGTGCAGGAGGGAGGCGACGGCCCTCGCCAAGGAGCTCGGCTTCACAGAGTTTATCCGCGAGGCCTGACCTGAGGAGCGGCCCGCCCCAGCCGCGCCTTCTCTTGGCTGTCCGACTGCTTGGCCTCGCGCCGCGGACGACTCGCGCGCGTCGCTTTGACCCTCTCGGGGCGATCAGCGCGCGTCGCGCAAACTCCGCATTGCGCTCTGCCCAGCGCCTCGCCCATCCCTCGTCGCTCTGCCTGGCGGCCAGAGCCATGCGCGCTACGAGTCAGCCAGCAATCACTCTCTGATCCGCTCAGCGGACGGACCGCGCGCGTCACTGCGACCCCTTCGGGGCGACCTGCGCGCGTCGCGGGGGCTCCGCTTTGCGCTGCGCCCGCAGCCTTGGTCTTTGGAGTGCGCGGGCAACTGTTCACAGTCGTATACATACATTTACACTGGGCGTATCCATGCACGCATTCATGCGAATAGAATCAATCGCGCGCAGATTCATTCATAATCAGACTCGCTCGCGATCCGACTCGCGCGCGCTCAAGCTTTCATATTCGGACCTATCGTCTTCGTTCGTGTTGTGTACGTTGCCACGCATTTCGGCGCACCCCTCATACGGTTCGTGGCCCCATAGGGAGCGCCACCGAAGAAGATATTCACAATTGCGGTACTCTCAACTGCATATGGTTGGGTCCTTCGCCAGGCTAATTTTTAAAAATAAAAAAGGTTTCACGAATTTCACTATTTTCAGTAATTTTCATTTCATTCCCAACCATCCTGTGGTGTTGGGTCCTCGTTTGAAGAGACGGTGCCCCGCGTCTCCTCCTCTCCTCCTCCTCCTCCCCCTCCTCCTCCCTCCTCCCCCTCTTCCTTGCGTTTCACCCGCCCAGTACAGCGCTTCGTAGCCCCATAGGGAGCTCCGCCGAAGGCCCCAGTGCTGCCGCCCGCATGCGTCCCGCACACCCAATTCGGCACACCCCTCACACGTTTCGTGGCCCCATAGGGAGCCCCACCGAAGGCCCCAGTGCTGCCGCCCGCATGCGTCCCGCACGCCCAATTCGGCACACCCCTCACACGTTTCGTGGCCCCATAGGGAGCCCCACCGAAGGCCCCAGTGCTGCCGCCCGCATGCGTCCCGCACACCCAATTCGGCACACCCCTCACACGTTTCGTGGCCCCATAGGGAGCTCCACCGAAGGCCCCAGTGCTGCCGCCCGCATGCGTCCCGCACACCCAATTCGGCACACCCCTCACACGTTTCGTGGCCCCACCGAAGGCCCCAGTGCTGCCGCCCGCATGCGTCCCGCACACCCAATTCGGCACACCCCTCACACGCTTCGTGGCCCCATAGGGAGCCCCACCGAAGGCCCCAGTGCTGCCGCCCGCATGCGTCACGCACACCCACTTCGCACCCCCCTCACACGTTTCGTGCCCCATAGAGAGCGCCCCGAAGGCCCCAGTGCTGCCGCCCCATGCGTCCCGCACACCCAATTCGGCACACCCCTCACACGCTTCGTGGCCCCATAGGGAGCCCCACCGAAGGCCCCAGTGCTGCCGCCCGCATGCGTCCCGCACACCCAATTCGGCACACCCCTCACACGTTTCGTGGCCCCATAGGGAGCCCCACCGAAGGCCCCAGTGCTGCCGCCCGCATGCGTCCCGCACACCCAATTCGGCACACCCCTCACACGTTTCGTGGCCCCATAGGGAGCCCCACCGAAGGCCCCAGTGCTGCCGCCCGCATGCGTCCCGCACACCCAATTCGGCACACCCCTCACACGTTTCGTGGCCCCATAGGGAGCCCACCGAAGGCCCCAGTGCTGCCGCCCGCATGCGTCCACGCACACCCAATTCGGCACACCCCTCACACGTTTTCGTGGCCCCATAGGGAGCTCACCGAAGGCCCAGTGCTGCCGCCCGCATGCGTCCCGCACACCCAATTCGGCACACCCCTCACACGTTTCGTGGCCCCATAGGGAGCCCACCGAAGGCCCCAGTGCTGCCGCCCGCATGCGTCCCGCACACCCAATTCGGCACACCCCTCACACGCTTCGTGGCCCCATAGGGAGCCCACCGAAGGCCCAGTGCTGCCGCCCGCATGCGTCCCGCACACCCAATTCGGCACACCCCTCACACGTTCGTGGCCCCATAGGGAGCCCCACCGAAGGCCCCAGCG